ACAAAATCTTCGATTTGTATCGTTGTCAGCAATAGCAAGGATCTCTCTTCAAGATTAATTTTTAGAAAGATGAATTCGGCTCGAAGTTAGAAAATTGGTTTGATTGATGATCAGATTGGCACAGCATTATTTTTGGATGGCATGTACAGGTTGCTAGGCATATGTGATGGCATCTCTCTAAACACAATGTTGCTAGCCATCTACAGGTTCTACAGTCCTTTTGCCTACTCCAATTTCTCTTACCTAACGACTGTGATAGCATGATTCTTCCCTAAATGCCATTATTGATCTCTCGACGCCTCCCAAGTACTGCCATGGCAGTCTCTGTCTTCTTCCCTATGTCCTCTCATCGGACAGTTCTATTGCGATGCTGTAACAGCTCTGCAGTCACTAATTAGCTTCACGGTAAACCAGGACGTTGGTACGGCGGAAGTTCACATGTGGCCGCCATGGGCGCCTCAGTCACCTCTTCCGCCACCATCGCCACCACCACGACCCTACCAAGGGGGTACAGCACAGTGCACGCCGTCCCATTGTCTCTGTCTGTTCTCTTGGCCTTGGTTGACTCCAAACCTGTCTCCTCTTTCTCCATGCAGGGAAATGGAAAACGGGTTCCACACGCCATGGCCAAAGCAGCTCCTTGCTTCCCTCCGCCATTGCTGATGCCAGTAACTATCCTGCACCGTTCCCTGGCCGAGCACTCGAGTTCGCAGCTTTACATTGATGCTCACCCTGTATGCATCCCCCTTCAACTGACTGCCATAATTGCTATCTCAAGAGCCAAAGAATGGTCATCTAATCATCAGGTAAAAAACGAAAGGGTTTCACATCATATATCAAAAGACAGTTCTTAAGCGACTTCAGATTCCATATCTAACCCAAACAACTGTGAACTGTAGATGTAGGGAGAAGAAGGTAAAAACAAGAAATTACGACGAACGGCATGACAAATCAGCAAAATAAGATCTTTCTTTTCTTCATTCCATGTTGATTACCACAACATTTCTAACAATATGTACCTGTTTGTTACTTCAGTCAAAAGAAAGCATTGATGCAGATATTGGAGATGTTTTGAAGAAACCATGGTTGTCATTTCCTCTTGGATTGAAGCCCCCTTCAATGGATAGTGTGTTGGTGGAACTACACAAGTAAGGACTATCACAAGTGCCATAGCCTGGATTTCTTGATCAATGCACACTTTAATTTGCAATCCCTAGATGTTCCTCCCTAAGTCAGGTATGCTTATGAGCTTTAACAGAAACAAAGAAAACTCACATTTTTCTACCTTATCAGGAGCCCATTCTCATCCAAGACTTCAACACTCTGTGGCTCCTCCATACCAGAAACAGAGTGCTCAAGAAGTTGGTGGATCCATGACATTTAAAGATCCTCTGCATCTTTGGAACTGCAGCAGGAAATATTTTATCATGGTAAAGAAGTTTCATTAAAGCTAAATTTTGAAGATACTAACTAGCTTAGCTGATAACAACTTTGATTACTGATAGTAAGAACCTAGGAATCAAATCCTCCTTTTAAGGAAGTTGACATTTACCCAAGCCAGAAACCAGCTCTTTTGCAAGACCAGTATGCATATTCCAATCAATACCGTACCCGAGTTACAATAGCATCTAAATCCATCATACAACTATGTTTTTATTTCCATTTTTTTTGTCCAAAATCAGTTCAAAAGATTTGGGATAGTGTATTCATATTTGAAAAATGAAAATATATCTGAAAATGTTAGATCTTGAATTCTCTCTCTCTCTCTCTCTATGTAAATATATTTTCTTTACCTTTGAGTTTCACAGTTTTCATTTCAGAAACTTGACTTGCTGAATTACCTTGATATTATTTTTTATATATGTAATTTTGACATTCATAATTGTTTATCCTATATATATATACACTAAATTTTGTATTCAGATATATACTTCTTTCTTTAAGCAGAAAGAAAAAAGTTCATATACTTGAGACATCTTTACAGGAAGAGTGGTATCACCACAAACCAAAAGCTGATGGGATTCTGGCATTGACATCTTTGGCTTCATTGGTCCTGTGTCAGGCATGGATTTGAGATCATGATCATTTCGTTTGTCATTTGTCTTTGTGGAATATACTAACACAATTACACAGCAGCAACTGCTTCAACAAAAAGGTAGAAGTTTAGGGTTTGGGTGACATGATTGAGTCATTTCTGTAAGTGTTTACAGTCGGTGAAACTTGAGAGCAAGTTTCTGATCATGACATGGAGAAAACTCCAATATATAATACTTCTTCAAAACATTGCAGGAGTTTTCCATTTCCAGGTGATGCTGCAGCTCACTACTGAATCGGAAAAGCCACTGTGGAGAGAGACCCCATGGAATAATTGCACTGAGAAGTGACGAGAATGAACAGCATGAGATCCTTGCTCATCTGCAACACTCATCCTCCGGTGTCTGAGAACAGATCAAGACTTGACAGGGAAACATCAAGCACAGATCCACATTCAAGACACTTTGGAAGCTGCCAGACGGATGAGCTTGGACGTTTGATCCCCAAAAAGGTCTAATCATTTCTATCTTGCAGCTTCTTCTGAGAAGAAATGAGAGTTGGGATAAGAATCACGGGCATCGATGGATCCACCACTTGTGTGAACAACGTGATGACCACTAGCCTTGGTTTCTTCAGGTCGGATGTAATATTTCTGGGGAAGTTAATTTGGAGGAATACTTTCTGTTATTTGCAGTAATTTTCTGGTCCATGCAGTACCTGCAAATGTCAGAGAAAAGATGAAAGCTGGTTTCTCTAGACACGAGCATCTCTTCAGTATCTAAGAAAAAGTGAGTCTCATGTGAGCTTGATATTATCATCATCTTCTTCAACCATGAGAAAAGGTATGCATACTGACTGAAGCATGAGGAAGAATAGCTCTCTGTGTCAACAGACACGAAAACAAGTTCATCCATCAGTTCTCTTTCTTGTATGAATTCACTTTCATTTTTCTATAGCATACAGACACTGCCTTATCTCCGACAGGTGAGCTTCACCCATTTGGACAAGCCAAATGTGAGGATAGTGATGGTGGGAGCAAAAAGAGCAGCAAAGTATGCACAACTCATCATCAAGACTTGACAAGGGGAGATATTTCTCATCAAAAATGAACATACAGATTGCAAATTGTCAAGCTTGGATCCAATTTAAGCTTCTGAGATGACCTGAGTGACCACCACCAAGCAGAACAATCTATGGACTATTAAGTTGATGATGATGAGCAGGAAGTCTTTGGTCTTTCAGCTGCATTATTTCATGGATAAGTTTGGTTGCATGCTCTTCATCAAACCAACATGACAATCCCCGCATCAGCTGAACACTGAACACAGCCATTTTCTGAAGATTATTAACAGTTGTGGACAATTAATGGCCATCAATGCAGTTGATCTTTTTTGTGCTCTCACTGGCTTCGTGCCAACCATAAATGAAGTGCTGTCACATCATGAACAGATTATTGTAGATTAGTTCTTGTTCTAGATGTCAAGCAAGTTGACAAATATGGTCCATTTTGGATGTCAAAATAAGTCAAATCTAGTTGTTTTAGTTTGGTGGAGTCATTGATTGCTGAACTTACGTAGCTCCTGACGTTTATTCTATTGGCTGTGACTGTGAGTGATCACATTGCCGGCTCTGTTCATGTTGATGGGGAAGCAAGAAAAGCCAAATCTGAGACATTTACTGAAGTGGGAAAAGTGTGACTCAACCTTCTGTATTGTCATTCTTTTTGACATTTCTTGTCACTAATTTAGTAGTTCTGCCATGTGCCCTCTTTCTATAGTTTTTTGATGCTATTTCTCTCAGAGATCATCACTTTCCTCTGAACTCTTTGACCTGGGGAATTTTGTTGGAGGATCATTCCCTACATTTTTTCTTTTCTCTACATTTTAATATGAATGAAATTAGATTCTACAGAGAAAATAGAATTTTCGTCTCACTGATTTGTTCCTAAATATCCTCACTGAAGAATCTCTCCAAGGATGCTACAGATTAAAGGTAGAAAACTCATCTTATCTTCCTGCAACCAATAGTATGCAAATGGATACCTCTGTAGCTACACATGCAAAAGATCCTTTTGGTACTGCAACCTACCTACCAGGCTACTAGATCTTTCTCTTTGATGAATAGGAGCTCCATCTACAAAGTTCCAAGCTACTTGTGGGTGGCAGTGCTTTCTATCTTGTTTTGATCAACCATTTGTGGATTCTTGATAAGCTGCGGCAGATTGGACAAGCTGATTGCACTGACTCCCAAGGGACATACATGGTACCAGCAAAGGTTGTTCCTTAGCTGATCATATGCCAGTGGAAAAGATTCCCAACAACTTTTTCCTGTAACATCCATTCAAGAGATGTTTGCTCTACTTGCACCATCTCTATCCTGTAGTTAGGACCTCTGCTTTCCGTGCTACACCCAACTTTAAATTATTCTTATGATCCTGTCCTCTGCAGTTTATGCTTTGGATTTCTGTAGGCTCATTAGAGGTTCTTACCAGGAACACAGATTAGTTAAAAAGACTTTTTCCAGAGGGAGGGAGGACCAGAGTTCTGTAGTTACATTCTCTCTAGCATATTTGCCAAGGCTGTGCAGTCCTATTAAGTCCTTACGGAATGAAACCCTGTTTGGAGTTCTTCACAGCTTTGGCAAGATGGTAAATGTCTTTGCACAGGTCATGTTGATCATCTTCTTTGAATCTATCATCACCTGAATCTGAGTGAGGCCTTGTTGTTGTGCCCTCTGTAGTCATTCCTTGAACCTCCAAAAGGGACACATATGTTCCTCAAAGGCATGCAATTACTCCTTTATCCTTGTAACCTGAGACATGTGACATATCCCACAGAGCTCATGATGCAGGACATGTTTTAGATCTTGTAGGGGTAAAAGATTTATATAAGATTTCTGAGTATGTCCTAAGTGTCCAGTTAAGGAGAAAGAGCTAAGATGAATTCTGGGATGTGGCTGCTACATGCATGATTTTGTCTGTTCCTTTCCTATTTATTGCCTCTTGTAGTTCCTACCTGCAAGTTCTTGAGTTCCAACCAAGAAGAGGAGCAGGAAAGATGTATGCAGAGACCGGGCTGCTGTTGCCCTGCATGCAGGGCTTTCCACAAGTAGTATCAGGAGCTGATCAACATCTTCTTCCGTTTACATTTCATGAAGACTTGGTCTCCACGGTCTTTCCTGGTGCTGCTCCCACCTTGGTATGGATTGCTTCATGATTCTTTCTTTCTATCTTCCGCCCAGTCCTTCAGTAACAAAAAGTCTTATTTTCTGCTTAGATTTCATATGACTGATTTCTTGCGGGAGATATCACCTATGATCTTTACTAATCTGCGCAGTGAGTCTTTCTCCTGTATTTTTTCTGTCCTAATTTTCTTCTTCTTACTTGATAATCTTGAGAAATCAGACTATTATTAGTTCCTCAAATCCCTAGGGTATTATTATATGTCTTGGGAATCTTGTTACTTTCTGGCCACTCACATCCGTCGATCATGAACTAGAATGAATGCCCACTGATCTCTGTTTTGCTATGGATTCTCATAGACCTCATTTCTATGTGATGCTTGATAGACGCAGAAATATTAATGCTTTTATTTGTTTTCTGGTCCCTCTTTCTTTAACTTTTTCTTTTCTTAAGATTGCTGTTAACCCATCTTTTTGCCCTATTTCTTTGAGATTAAGTTGATGACTCTATATGCTATTCGAAGCAACACAACTTCCTGACCATTGCTTCTTTGCTCCACCTTATTTCTTCTTGTTGATTATTTCAGATAGGAAGTCAGAATTTTTACATAACAGCAAATACTTGTATTCAACTTTATCCATTAATTTGTCACTGCAATCAAGTCTCTTTTTTTTTTCTTTCTTTTTAATCTATTCATGCTTCCTGCTCAGATTAATCTAGTAGATCTGCATAGAGACAGCCATTCAAGTAAGTTGTTACTAGCTGCTATGTTTTCTTGTATAAAAATGTGCATCCTTGTGTAATACTGCAGACACTCATCATGTATTATTATCTTATCGTATATTGCGCATTAATACAGTTTTTTGCGATATCGTTTCTTGTGTCCTTGAACATAAGTTTCTGCCTTCATTAAATGAATTTTCAAGCATGATTTACTCTCAAGGCCTGCCAATGCTTTACGACACTAGAATGCTTTTCGGGAGGGTGTTTTATACAGCATTAACCCATTATCAAAGAACATAATTAATATGGATTTTGACGGAAACACATACGCTTCATGCTTCATTTCATACATCCCTTTCTCATGAACACGAGTTTTTTCATACTTGTGTCGTGGTTAAGTTTTAGGTGATACCGTCAGATCGGGTGCATTTCATAATTAACATAGTCCTCCTACATAGTTATGTGGCAAAATTTCTACATAGTTTCTTTAAACTTGGTTCTACACAAGCTATTACTCAGCAGTTCTAATTAAATAAATCTTAAAAACACGGTAGATTTTGTCAATTGAGAAATCAAGTTTATGCATTTCTGTTCGGAAGGTGAATAGAGTATTAATAGGTGTATATCTAGAAGTAAATGATTCTGTAATACAAATGAATAACACAACTGAATACACCATTCTTTCATTTGATATTTTGCCTTGCACAATTCATCGGATCCAGCATTAAGAACAATGCTTATCAGCTTAGCAATGCGATCATTTATTTACAGTACAAGAAAATACATCTAGAACTCCTTATGTTTCTGATGGTTTCCCTAGCAGCTCTTTAGTATTTCTTTACACTTTGTATCAGTAACATTTTAGTCCCTAAAATTTTCTATTCTAGTCATCTTATGATCCTCAAAACCCTGAAAAGTTAAGCTTGATCATTTTGTCTCTGAAATATGGGATAACAGATTTTATAATCCCCTCCTCCCTCCTCCTCTCTTTAGAAAATAAAGAAAAGAAAGTCAAAGAGGATTCAGAGGCTCCTGAACTTTTAAGACTTCCTGTGAAATTTTGTTATGTGATTTCTACAGGGTAACCTGGTTCAGATTTCCTTTACTGATTATGACCTGGGAGGAGACGGGGATCTGTTTGAAGCTCCAAAGCCCATATTAGAAGAATCATTAGATCCCATAACCGCTACCATGTCAGTGATGCCTGGTTATGGAAGTACTATAACAGAAGAAACAATGAAAACCACAGATGCAGAGTTGATCCAAGATGAAGATCTATCGTGTGAGGTCTTCTTTGACTGCAAAAGAGATATTCTTACAAAGTCAACTACAATTGTACCTTCTCCTGGCACAGTTGCTGCAGTGCAGACTGAAGAAGATACGGCTGGAGCAAAAGATAATTCCTTTGCAGAGGGATCATTACAGAAGAGTGGCAGTTTTGGATGTCTAGGCTCAGTGGACTACTCTAAGGTTCTCAGTGTCGAGCCATGTTTTCTTGGTGTTTCTGATATGAATCTTGAGGTTGCATTTCAGATGAGGAGGGCATACAGCGAAGGAGATATCCAGGTCAGATTAATAAGTCCATGTCTATATGACTTGCATTTTCAAGTAATCATCTATTATCTGGCTGGCTTGTGGATCAATACAATTGCACCAGAAGAAAGCATTCCTGAATTATTTTGCTTTACTGACAGTGTCAATCATATGTGACTCTGAAAGAATCATTCATCACAAAGTATTGGTAGCTCTTATAAATCGAGTAGGAAGCATCATCAATTTGAACATGTTGTGATATCATCACTGCATTACCTAAATGACGACAGTTGCTTATTGCTTACTCTTGATATAATGTTTCTTGAAGGTATGATTAGGTCTTTCTGGAAATTTTCACAGATTATTGCAGGCCATTGACTTTGAGTTTCTTGTGGCAGATTCTTGGAAACAATAACTCAGTTCATGGTAACATGAACATAATTCCTGCTTTTAAGGTTTTAGCAAGCTTTGAGGATATCAAGATTGAGGACAAGATCAAAGAAAGAAGGATAAAGCTTTCCAGGTACAGGAAGAAGAGGACAAAAAGAAACTATGGAAGAAAGATCAAGGTAAACCTCTTTTCTTGATCTCAAAATGTCAAGGAATAGCATGTGTATAGAAACAATGTGCACATACATATCTACTGCACGAAGCCTATCATTGAAAAAGCTTTATATGGTAATACGACTGATGAGATAAGAGCATGAATGTTATTCTGCAACAAGATTGTGCAAAACTTGGTTTCTTTCCTCATTTGATTTCATCGGTTAAGCACTTCAGCCCCAATTGCTCCTGTGATTACAAAACTGGCACGGAGAACAGTAAAGTTCCTTTAGAGGCATACATTTAGACAAAAAAGGATAGATCGGCAATGTTGATGATCAGAAATCAACTTAGATGTCCTCTTGAATTTTCTTTTCATGATCTTGTTATGAGCTATAAGGATCAATTATTCTGCTAATGGAAATTAGACAATTATTCTCAAGCTAAACTGTAGATTCTGACATTCGATTTTCCACAAAAAGTTGTCTATCTGAGACATGATCTCGTTCTGCTAATTGGATCATGTGTAAACAAACATATGCTAATGACAATTTCAAGATGTTTTGGGTTTACTCCATCTGCTCGGCTTGTCGAACAACATCTTATTATCCACACCAAACAACCTCGTAAATTTCTTGCTTGTTTGTTTTAAGTTGAGCTGTTTCTCATTCTAATACAAACTCCTCTCTGTGTTTTAACTCCACACGGTGGCAATATCCATCATTTTGCAGTATGCTTGCAGAAAGGCTTTAGCAGAGAGTCAGCCTCGTATACATGGAAGGTTTGCAAAGATGGAGGACACGTATGGATGCAATGATCGAGCAATAGGAGGTCGCAAACTGCAGCAATGAAGTATAGATAAATGCACAAGTAGCTTGCAGCTAGTACTGCTTTCTAAACACCCCTATGGGTAATGTGGCGCTTCCAATATTATGTTATAAAGCTTGTTCAGAACTTTGAATTATATTTGTTAGAAATAAGCCTATGGTTATGGGCATCTCTTGCTATACCGTCGGTCTGTATCAATTAACATTTATCTGTAGCTATGTGACTAGTTTGGAATGAATAAGATTTGACAAAGTTTTGAGCTTTCAAGTGATAGTGTTTCTGATGTGTGCGGTCTTTAACTGCTTATATTTCACAATGGTTCAACTCAAGATGCAGTTTCTGCAGGTTACAATCAACCATTTGTATCTTTGACATCTATGAAACATCCTATTCCAATCTTTTTTCCTGAGAGAAACAATTTATTCAAACACCGAACCACCCAGAACCTCTCACAGTCACAATCTAAGCTCCAAGTCGAGTTCTTGCAAGGCCTGGTCCTCGTGAAGTCTGATCATCTGCATTGATCCAGTCCTTTGTGTTATGGAAGATCTTAAAGTAGCAAGATAACAATGAGGTCAGCTAGATATTTAGGCAATACCTTCTGCATGCTTTGTTCTAAGGGAGGCAGTGCTGCAGTAGGTTGCACTGCTTGATGAGAAGAGGAACACCAATTGCATCTTGCTGTGGCACCAGAACTGAATGCACTTTGTTTGATGTCCATTTCTGCTGTGTCTCCAAAGCCTCTATCTGAAGCTCCATAAAGCTCAAAAAAATTAAAACTGGGGAACTACAGCTCTTATTTTACTCCTGTTGATGTAGCATGTTGAGTGAAGCTTGACATACCATGATACTCTGGTGAAGCTCAAACAGTGATGATGATGATGATGATGATGAGGCAGTAGTAGTTGAAGAGGGAGATGATGCATATCGCATCTGTACTCTAGCAATATGCTGCTTGAACACAAGCATCAAGGAACTAAGAATTGGACAGAGAAAAGTAGAGATAATTGTCACCAAGAAATACCTTGTGGAGATCACAGTCAAATTGAGAGAGGCAGGTTGCTATTGCTATCATTTGATTCTGTAATATGATCTTCTCTAATTGAGCCACACCAGGGCCTCTTTGAGGATGCTTTGGCTTGTCTGAGTTCTTCTTTCTCCTCCTACAGGACCCATATCTCTCACTTCCTAAGACCAGCTTCTGTGTGTAGTTTCTGCTTTCCATCACTTCATCACTCAACACCACCCTATCAAACAACAGAAGTATACACATATATATATATAGAGAGAGAGAGAGAGAGAGATAGATAGATAAAGAGAGAGGAGGAGGAGAGAGGGAGGGACATGTAAGGACAATTGTTAAGGACTTTTTTTTTTTTTCTAAAGTGAGCTGTCCCAAAGGTAATATATTATTGCATTGCTTGACTTGATTTTTGTGAATATCTTGATGTAATATACCTAAATTTCTCTTTCTTTACTAGAAAAGCTCATCATATTCAGCAATAGAAGGACCATGTGTCAAAGATGATCACAACTTTGAGCCCATGAATGCACATAAAATCAAGCTTCACAGGTTTGAGTTGCCAAAGATGATCCTACAGAATTCTTTTTTGTGATTAGGAGACAAACAAATTCCATAATCTCATGGTACTTGTTAGGCAAACACAAGGTGAGATCCTAAGGATCATTTTTAATCTTATTGTGACATATGGAAGTACATTGACTTAACAAGCATATGATTATAGTATCAAGAAGCTGCACTGGCAATTCCACAAACCATTTCAGTGAGAAATATCAATTATATTATCTCTGACCAACAGCACTTATATATATCACACTGCTTTATTTATAGACTAAATGAAGGATTCTACATGTTGAGTCAACCTCAAAACTATTATTTCTACTCAGAATTCCTGTATTACTAAATGCTAAAAACAGATCATCTACAAGATGTCGCATGCATCACCAACCTGAGGATCATCAATACCCTTTTGATAATGGTTCCATCTAAATGCCCAATAAACTACTTCCAAATACAGAATAATGATAGGACAGTGGATACACAAGATAGGGCAGGATGGAGAGGAGACAAGTAATCTCTAATCTAGATTATACCCACATCAAGTCCTAATTAAAGGATTAACAAGAAACTAAAGAAGAAGACAACAGAAGAATCCAAATCTTCTTACAGCTATAAAATAGATTAGAAGCCATATATGCCTGCTGTAAGCAAATTGCAAAGCTAAGTTGACCATAAGAATGCAAAATATAACCTTATTCTTTTATATACAGAATTTGGATAAAACTCAAGTAGCATACTTTTAGCACTAGTGTGAAAATGTACATTTAGGCAGATGACCAAGTTGATACCTCAACAATGTGTAGGTGAGAAATTGTCACCACCAAATGAAGTTGATCCCTTGCTATGAACATGCAATGATTAGAAGTATGTATATAGAATTTATAAACAAAGATGCTATTAAACCAATCTAAAGAAATTGTCTTGGAGAATCTAATTGAAGTGGTGAATTATATTTAAAATGTCATTACAAAATAAGTTATTAGTTTTGAAGCTAGAAGTTGACATGAACCCCAAGCATTCTTCACAACATTTAGAGTTCATGACTGCAGAGGATCCAATAATTGGGACTACAAGTGAACAAATATATTTATTCTATAAAAATAATTAATGTGATTAGAAGATATTGACCAACTTAATTGATGTTGACATCTCAACATCACCACTTATTTTTTTTAAAAATAATAATAGTAATAATAATGTGATTACTTGACTATTCTTGCTTACTTTGAGAGCAATAATCAGCCTCTCTCTCTCACACACATTTTATAGTAAACAACTGTTCATTAAAATGGTATACAAATGTCCTGAAAACTTAACATGTCTTCTGAACCTAAACAAGAGATAGAGATGGGCCTGATGATGATGAATTATCATTGGAGTCTAATGGTGATTACACAAGAAAAATTGGGTATCTCAACTTCTCTGATTATAGTGTAAGCAGTAAAGAGAAATCCTCTGGGAATACCTTGACCAGTGTCTGGTACCAGCCAGAAGAGACATTTCCAGTCAATGGAGTTCCAGAAACTAGACAGCATGCTTTCTGGGTTTCTGTTGACAAGCATTACTATGAACTCTCCAAGAAATTAGAGCTGATGCATCCATGTTCATATGCTAGATTCACGAGTGCTGACTTTTCATTTCAGCTGATAACACAAAATACTAGTTCTTCATAGTTGCAATATTTCTCGGCAATAATTGTGTTCCAAAATTGACATGATGAACAATATCAGGGCATGAAGCTACCACAGTGCATTAACACTACAAGTTTGGTGCAGTGCCAACACATTTGTGGATCATGCAGCTTACAGAGTTCCTGAGATCCAAGTTTGGTGTTACTCCAATTGACATGGAGAGTGCAGCTGCAGCACTTGTATGCCTTCAGCAATAGGTCCCTTTCATAGCCTTCAGGCTTCTCTCTGATCAGGCTGGTGGAGGCTTTTCCTGGTCCAATGAAGCTTCAATTTTTGGATCGCTGGCAGCAGAAAATGCTGTACTCGTCGCCATTAAATTCATCTCCTCATTAGCTTAACCTGCATCCTAGAATCAAAGTTTAGTTAGTTGATCTGCAATCAATAAGATTTCCATGAATGTAAGGTTGCCTTCTATCTATCAATAAGGCCTCGGGGACTTCTGGCATGAACATTAGCTTCTTTGTTACTCCTGCAGTTATCTTTGTTATTATCATTGTAAGGCTACCTTTCTATCAAAATCCCTACAGTTATCTTTGTGTATTGATTCTGTAGCATGAACATTATCCAATTTGAAAATTGATAACTCTGGATAAAGCCAGGTATAATCCCGAATTAATGATTACTAGATCACCCTTAGAGAACTTTATCCTAGCACATAATGCCTTCAAGATCATCTTTGCTCCACTTTTGACAATGAGAAACAACACGATCTAATATGGTTTGGCAGCTCAAGACACATGATTTGATGAACACATTTCCTTTGACTTATCAAACATTTGTTTACAGGGCTTCTCTGCAAACTAATTACACTGATTTAGGAATTTCAATATCAATCCTGAAGTCCACGATGGTGAGCCTTAAAATCTACTGTATCTAACTACACACGACAATGGACATTCCAAAAGATAATCTACTAATAAAACTCAAAAAATAGATCTCACATCATCCTTCACAAGTAACAGGAAAAAGATATCTCAGCTACAATCCAAAGACGGATGTTCTAAATTCAATGAAATTAATCAATTTATATTGAGAAAATGCAGCAAATGGCAATCAGTTGTTTACACAATCAATAAAGCTCAGAACACTTGCTTTAACATACGTAATGACGTAGGCATAATGGGATGACTAAGCATTTCCTCAGCAACCATTTTTCAGCAATCTCATCTACATACTGGGATACCTTAACAAACTATAAAATCTCAAATCTATGCTTTATTCATATGCTAAGCCCACTACCACTTCTGACGCAAAATAAGCTGTTTCTAATACAAATGCGCCCTCTGATACTTTTTCAGGATCCCAAAGCCAAAAGTTCATATTTGAAATTTTCAGACTCATCATCAATGTCACACATCATCAAAGCATCGCCTTGTGCAGGTTCACAATCTTTAGCCAAATTCGGTGGCCTAGTGATACATGAAACATGTGCTTGTTGTTAAGTCTATCATTAAAAGTACCTTCAATACAATTACCAAAGACTGTAAGAAATGTCGATAACAACAGAAGAAGATTACCGACAAAGGAAGGAAATGACCCATTCCACAAAAAGAGACCATAAGCTCGTATTTGTCAAAAAGTTCATTGGACTTGTGGATCTGATGACTACGCTACTAAACCCAGCATCCGAAATGCAAAAATTTTACGTCTTGCGGGAGTCTGAAAGTCTTGCGGGAGTCTGAAAGTGAAACAATACGTCTGAAGCAACCAGATGATTAATATTACGAAGATGTAAGTTCACAGACAAACCTTTAAGTTTAAATCACAAGCTTCGAACCTTTAAATTCAAAACACAAAAATTCCAAATGATTTCCAGAAAAAAAAGCAAACCTACATAATCCATTTCCAACATGCAGAACAATTATCTAACGTTTGCAGTAAAACATAGGATCGTAAAGAAAAAAGTCAACTCCTTCCCACGTATTGCAACTACGCCGCAGCTGCGGGCTTCTTCCTGGGAGCCGCTTGAGTGCCTATGAACAACCAATAGCAAGAAAAACATCAAACGACCTGCAAATGTATCACGGAAGCTGAAAAAAATGACTTTTTCTAAAGGATCCGGATTGGTGACCTTCGCAGAAGTTGCTCTTGAAGCGACGCGGAACATGGCGGAGGTACCTCATCCTCCCAGTTCCCGTCGTCTTCCTCCGGATCGCCTTCACACTCCAGTTATCTAATCCAGACGAACCAAAAACCGATCATAAGAGATCAAATCCCCGAAACAAGAGAAAAATCCACATAAGCCAAGAGTAACAAGAACAGAAAAAACAAGGATCGAAGGGGTAAACGGATCACATTTGCGGATCCGGCTGGATGGGTAACCGCAGGCTCCACAGCGGCTCTTCTGAAGGTGGAAGCTGCGGCGGCCGCAGCGGACGCAGAGGGTATGGGTCTTGTTCCTCCGCTTCCCGAAGCTGCCGGTTCCCTTCCCCTGCAACCAATGAACAGGGATTCATTCTGGTTATACATCTAGGGATCGAGAGGCAACGACGGACAGAAGAGGAAGAGGAGAAGAGGCAGAGGCGTTTACCATCGGAGCTGCTCTCGGTAAAACCCTAGCCGCGAAGCGAGAGACCGCCGGGATGCCATTTGCTTCGGGATTTCATACGGGGATATCGGGTCAAACCAAGCCTGTGGAGCCCAACGAAGACGCTCAAGGCGCATTGGTTGGGCCGAGCCGGGCCCATAATAAAGGATGAGTATTTCTTTACGGCGACCCGTTCTACATTACCAGTCTCGTGTACCTGCCTTAGAAGCAGACTACAGGTGGGTCCCACTCTTCATCGAGATGCGGGAGACAAACGTGCGTCTCGGGTGTCAACCTCGAAGTCTGCGTGAGGTTAAAGTAGGCCATAGATCAAACTTGGTGTTTAGTCACCAGACTTGAATACCCGTTCGGCTTTCCCCTCTCGCCAACCTGCCATAGAAGCAGACTGGAGGCGGGTCCCACTCTTCATTTGTATGTTGGACGCGAGCAGGCGCAGCTTCACAACAAAACACAGCAATAATAAGTCCCATCCTAAATCTGTTTGAGGTTAAACAAGCCATGAAAAGCCTCATGTTTATCATCGGTTGTATAGCTCAAACATAATCGATCATTAAAAATATGTAATCATCATTGGATATGCATAACTATACAAATGATTAGATAGTATGATGTAAAATACTTATATTATAAATTTTATTATCTTAAAGTCAATACAAGAGATACGATCTCGGGATAGTGGTCACCTCACAAGAATAGATCATCAATCGCATGATCAAAATTCACATGGACCAAGACATCCATAATGCAGATAAATTCATATTCAGTGTTATTTAATTTATATTTTTTAATATTTTTTTAAAAATTATTAATAAAATTATATGTCTTGTGGCTTACTATCTAAATATGATAATTCAATTTGATATAGTCTTAGAATGTGATCAGATTTATTATTGATATTAAAAAATATTATATATCGACTCTTGTCAAATACTATCGATGTTATTATGGAGGGTCAATCATTTCAAGAAATAATCGATTCATCTCTCCAATTGTGTAGTTGTATCGTATCATTATAATTTGAATTCGGTAAAGAAAAGTTACACATATATTGATTATAAATAATATTTAATATTAATTATTTATTATGCTAACAATGTCTTATTTATTTTTTTTTTTCATTCGAGTGCGGCTATAATTCGGAGGAAATGCACTAAATTTAAGGAAGTATTGTTGTCCATGTACTTTCACTGTTAATGACATCTAGTGATTACGAACGTAACTGGTTAATGTTCACATTGATTCACATGAAAGTTTGTAATATATTATCATATAAATAATTGAAAAATTAGTATATGTCAACTACAACATGCGGCTAAGATTACGGTGTGTCGACACTTGAACAATAAGCTAGAGAAACCAGAGATTAACCCATCGACCTCTAATACTATAATGAAGATTTACAATCGATGTTAGAGTAAGTTAAAACAATGAAGAACCATGAAGATCCTCTATTTCATGAGGCAAGAGATCCTCCACATCCTTCGTGTTTTATTACCGAGGTAATAGAAAAAAGAGGAAGCACATTCCTAACAGAAGGAAGATCACTCTTGATCAAAATTTGATAGAAGGAGTCGGATAACATCGAGCAAGACTACTCAAGAAACTAGAGACACTCGATCATCACAATCATCCACTCAACATGTAAAGACAAAGAAGAAGACAGTAGCATCAACCACATTATTGAAAAGAATCGATTCAGGTGATGAGACACCTTCACAATTACATTCAATAATTCGTTTAATCCGAAGATATGACAATAATGTTGACAATAGTGTCCAGATCAATGATGGCGACGATGCTGGGGAGTTGATGGTTTCATTTATATAGTTTGAGGATGATGTATGGATTGAGAAATAGTATTTTACATATGCCACCTAAGATTCAGATCATAAAGCTCAACGAAGTACTAGTTAAGTTTATATACAAAAGGGAAAGAGGAAAGTAGTGTATGATTTTGAGCAGATGCGATAGAGCTTATACGACAAATATAAAGTGAAGCTCATCTTATTTACAATCGTCGTATTATGGAGAATATTATAACCAACATCAGTACAATGATAGTTGATTATTCTTCTTTGAGCTGAAGTATGGTGATTGATCATACGATACAAAGCAATAAATCACTCGCGTAGAAGTTCGTGCATTATCCAATCTCTACACCAATACATACCATAATTATAATTATCTCATCAGTGCATTGATACAACAATGATATATGATACATTAGTATATTATGTCATGGGATCAATTTCAGGATTAGTCTGATAAATATATCAAATTCATATATAAATATATAAGATCGATGACCTCCATCATTCTTTTTAATGATAAAATCAGATATAACTATTAATCAATTATTTGATTTATTTAAATCTTAAAATTTAAATTATTTAACAAATAATATAATAATTTAAATTATTTTTTTATAAATAATTTAATATAAATAAAAAATACTTTAAAATATATCATAAAATTACTTCTCAAATCCTTAAAAAATATATACCACTATTCTTTCAAATTTAAATTATTTTTACTAAAATTATATTAAATTTATATCTATTTTTAACTTAAAAACTTTAATCAATTTTTTTTATTTTTTAAAAAATCATAAAACCACTTTCAATCTTTTTTATTTTTCAAACTGCCAGTGCATCTCACCATACATACACATGATATATCGATAAGTACCATACCAATAATTGGTTGGTACATCATTATAAACCAATAAGACAAACCTTGAATCAAAGATTTTTGAAGAAACCTTACTATCCCTAAAGGACATGAAAATTTCGACACATTATAAAATTCCTTCATTCATTTGTGTAATAAACACAGTTTTCGGCAAATGAGCAAGCGTTAAGATTTCAGAGCAAGCATTCAACAATAGATCATGATTAGCAATTTGATGAGTTCTAAGATCGGAGCTAAACAACTAAAAGACTACATGAACTAATATAAGACAGGGCATGACCACAAGGTTATCTTTTGCATTCAGCTTCACAACATTTGGCAGCCAGGCAATGTCAGAACAATCGTGAAAGGTCGCAGATTCTGGCTTTAAACTCCAACTCCGTGAATGGTGGTAAGCAGTCGTCTCCTCAAGCAAGGTTCTGTATGTCCCAAGAATAGAGCCCACATCGAATGACCTCATATGTCAACATCTCCCTCCCTGATAAAAACCAGACAATATAATTTCATTTTTTATATATGACAAAAATAAGCATCTAAAAGGTCACAAGTTCTTAAATTCAAACTCAGAACAAAGACTGGATTAAAAAGAACGTTTCCTTCCTGCATGATGACCATTCACATAGCATATTTGGTTCTACTCGACAAACAGAAGTCCCACGAAAACCAAATGACAAATTTTGAGGCACATTTAATAGATGGCATCGTAGTAACTTTTGAGGCCTTTAGACTATTATTTAAAAGCTCCAACAGAATCAACATTTTGAAAGGTTTTGAAGAAAACATGGTTATGGAGTATGTTCTATGTAAAAATACTAATCCTAGTTCTATGTTAGGAAGATGACATGACAAATAAATTCAGCTTTCAATAGACAAAATGCAAAAGGCACCCACAAATCAAGTTGGAGCAAAAACAAGAATTCCAGATCAGGGCCTGAAACAGATTCCCACAAATTAAACCACAGCGGCAGCAATTAATTGCATGTCAGGCTCCACGCTATTAGTCTAAATATCAGCAACTTCTACCAACCTAGATGATGATCAGAGGACTATGCAGATTTGCTGATTTATATGCTTCATATTCAGGTTACCAAACACATCCATTCACTGTAAACCATTATGACAGCTTGCATACATCCACCTTAAAATTAAAAAGAAAAAATCCAAAAGGTTAAGAACTCAAAACACCCAACTCATCAGATGATTTGAAAAATAGGAAAACAAATATATCCCTTAAGACAACTAACATATAAAGATCTCTAAAGAGAGTGTGTTCAATGCATGAAAATAACATGCCATTATCATCTTTGGTAAAAGCCACTTAACTAGTTGCAATTTTTATGCATGAATGATATGGATTTTATGACCAGTGGGAATCCATTATCTACAATTCTATAGATGAAGAAAGAAATGAACAGTGACATGTGAAAGAGAAGAGTCCCAATAATTATTGAGCAATATCTGAAAAAACATGATTGAAACAAAATATCATATTTTTGCAGAATGATCATCCATAATATAGTATGCATCCATGACTGGTGAAATGCCAAAATGTTCTCCAATTTATTACCTTCCTGGGAGGTGTTCCTGGTTTTAACATATTCCCAAATCCCTTTTTCTTATCAGCTGGTTTAAGTATCTGAAACGAACAGGTCAGAGTGCCATCTACACTCATCAAAGCACCAGCATTATCAAATTCCCCACAATAGTTTGGGGCAGAGAATATTGTCACCAGTTGGCGCTTTGCAAAGAATTCATATCCATCTTCCACAACCTGCCAAAAGATATTAACCATATGCATTACAGTTGGATTGGATTTTTTCATTCAATAAAGTTTCCAGCAAGCGGACGGTTACTGAAGATCACTGTCCTATGATTCATCTGCTTCGATGTTAGCAATACTACATCGGAATCACATTTCTGGAGATACTAAATTGAGCAAAAGCATAACAAAAGTCTATCCTTTTCCAATATGCTGTTTGTGTTTGTTTCAACAGCTAGGCAAAATGAATAGCGACCTAAATGAAATTTCAGTGTACCACAGCTAACCTGGTGGGCACGACAGATGAGATCTAGATCATGCTTCTGAAGAAACTCAGCCACCTTGTCAGACCCAAAAGTATAAGAGACACCTCTATCATTTTCTCCCCAACCCTCGATATCTTTGTCAGGGTCTGACCATAGCAAGTCACAAAGGAGACCTTGGTCTGGAATATCCACCGGACGAACAATATTTCGGATCTGGTCCAAGCTCTTTAGTTCAGGAGATAAACCCCCATGCATACACAGTATCTTGTCATCAACAAGTGCAGCAACCGGAAGGCAGTTAAAACATTCCGTAAAAACTTTCCACAAACGAACATTATATCTCCTCTTGCACTCATCATAGAATCCA